AAGGTTTCATCAGTGATGGGAAATTAGAGGTCATTTGCCTTTTTTTCAAATGACCTAGGTTATTTCAGACAAAAATTCATAATAAAATTGAGGTCATTTGAAGGTCACTTGATCACTGGTTTTCATCATCACAAATAATATACTTCGGCACGGCGGTTTTTTTCTTTTTTTTTCCTAAAAAATGCCCCGGGCACTTTTATCATACAGGTGTGTTCACCAAAAAAAAAAACCGATTTATAAAAGTTTACTCTAAACTTTATGATCGTTGTTGAATGAAGGTGGGTATGAGGTGACCGGCCCTGATAAAGCAATATATATATATATATATATATGTATATGTATATTAAAATTATAAAAACATTAATAAAGATTTATATAAAATCGGACTTACTCTTTTATCATTAATTGCGGAGTCATAAAAATATGCCATTTACAGTATTTTTCATTATACTTTTATTCTTTCGTTTTTTGATGGTTTTTTTTTATCATTATTTTTTTTTTATTTTTTTTTTTATTTCGTTATTTTTTTATTTGATTCCGTCATTTTTTTTTAAAGGAATGGTAATGGCAAGCGCAAGGAAAATGTAAAAAAAAACTCCAGATATTTATAATTTAGAGGAGTTATAATCTCCGACATCTTAAACATCTTCCCGATTAGAAATAATACAATATCTTCTAAGATCAGTTTTTCCGGTAGGAAGGTTCTATGTAAGGAAGGTTGCATAAGAATTTAACCAAATTTGAATTAGTCATGCCGTAAAGTAGTCAGCCGATTATGAACTTTTACAAATATTTATTGATCAGGCGTACACGTAGTACTATTATGTGATAATTTATTCATTTGTGTCGAGAGTAACCTTTTTTTTTTTTGTTGCACAATCATGCATGCATGTTTGTGGGCTGGCGGACGGCAAAAACGATTTGGGTATTATTAAGCCTATATTTTCTCAGGAATTTGTTTCACAATTTCTTAAAACAGTAATGTTTGCACCCTGCTGATTTATTTGTGCACATAAAAATAGTATAAAATTATTTTAGATTACAGTATCATAACTAATTAAACTCTTTCAAACATTCAAACCGGTTGGCGATGAATAATCCAGTCGATAATCATATTGGTGGTGGTGGTAGTCCCGACCAAGAACAAGAGGCTGAAAACCAAATTATTGAAGAGTTTAAAAATCTCAAGAATGACGAAGCTCACGATCATATTCAGCAACGTATATTTGCTTTAAAACGTGGTGTAAACGTTGCAAAATCAGCAACAGATTTTTTAGGATCTGATGTTCGCGAGTCTTTGGTTCCTTTAATGCAAAATGTATTACGTGGAACTATTAAATCAATGAATGATGGTTGTAAAGAGTGTAATATTTTAGATGTCATGCCTGGTAGAGGTACTCAAGTGGACTGGTTTCTTTCACCAGAATTAGAAGGAAATTTGGGGAAGCGGAATAATAATTTGTATTGTATAGAGACGAATCAAGAATTTATAAAGTCATATAAACATACAGTGGAAACCTGCAGTCATTTAAAATTGGTAAAATCTTATGAGAAAAAGGTTAAAGATCTTTATCAGAAACCCCTAGATACGAAAGTTGATTTTATTATGTGTATGGATCTATGCTTTTTGTGAGTACACATTGAAAGATATTTTTATTAGCAATTGTTATCTACAATTATTATTTTAAATTATTATTTAACAATAATAATAATTATTTAATAACAGAACTGATGATAGCGGACAAAATATTAACCCACAGAATGATATCATTGATTTCGTCAAATTCCTTTATGGTCAGTTGAAGCCTGGTGGTGCTATATTCATTACCTACTTGGACCTCGAGAGCCCATTTTCTAAGATCAATTTTGACTATTTCGACAGCATTAAAGCTACAGCACGTAAAGATAACTTTTCAAAAATTGCTAAAGCACGGGATGATTTATTATATAATGGAAAGATTATCAACGAGTTAAAAGAAGATGAAAAATCATGCCCGAAAGTAGAATCTCATAAACTTTCTACATTTTATTATGCTAAAACTTTGGCTGAAGTGGCTATAATGAGTTTGGATGGCGGATTTTTAAAGTATAATAAGAGCAAATTTGAACTTGATCATTTAAAAAATTTGATCAAAACGGTTCAGGATGAAGCTAGCAAAAAAATGAGCAAGAACGAAAAGGGGCGTTTTGGATTGTGTAAAGCCGAACGCGGTAGAGATCCTTTATGGAGAGTTGAGAGTTTACAATATGCTTGTATTATTCGTAAGGAAAAAAAATAATTACTAATAGTAATTACAGTAACTTTTAAGCATTTTATTGTATAAAATTATATGATAGAATTTATCAACTATAAATAAAACTGCGCTTAACGTTAAATTATAATATGGTTTATGTTTACTTCATACTTAATTCTTCATCTAATTCTATACCTAATTCTACAATTCTTCTAACTCCGAACATACATTTTATGAATAGTAACGATCACAAAAGTTAGAAAAAAAATAGTGACGGTATCACATATTTATTATATTGCACATATTTATTATATTGTTACATTACATCCTTAAACTTATATTTGTTTTCGTTGATCTTTAAAACTTTTGTTAACCCACATGATACTTCGTCATTTTGTGTTTATATTTTGTGTTCATA